TCCTACTCCTCCTCCTCCTTCGTCTTCTTCTCCGTCTTCCCCCCTCGCCTCCTCATACCCAGATTTACGCATACACAGACTTACTCACACTCAGACTTACTCAGACCCAGACTTACTCACACACAACATTATTCGTAATCAGACCTACTCATACTCAGACCTACTCCTACTCAGACTTACTTATGGTGAGACTCACGCACGCCCCGTTCGCGGCCTTTTTTGTATGCTTCAAGCGGCTTACTTATGTTATGTTCCAACATCCTTGGCTACCAGAGCAGATTGTGAGGATGTCTCAGGCGGGGCGCTGGTTTCAGCTCCCCCTGTGGGGAGCCGCCAGGGGTTATCTCACGGTCCCGTTCGCGGCCGTTGTGTGGGGATGTCTCAAGCGGTTTGCTTGGTTTCTGTCCCAGCATATTTCGTTGTCCGAGCAGATTCGGAGGATGTCTCGAGCGAGGCGTTCATTGTCACCCCCCTAAGGTGAGCCGAGCCGCCAAGGGTTATCTCACGGTCCCGTTCGCGGCCGTTTTGTGGGGATGGCTCAAGCGGTTTGCCCGCTTTCTGTCCCAACATCCTTCGCTGTCGGAGCAGATCTGGAGGATGTCTCGAGCGAGGCGCTCACCGTCCTCCCCCCCAAGGGGAGCCGCCAGGGGTTAGCTCACGGTCCCGTTCGCGGCCGTTTTGTGGAGATGTCTCAAGCGTTGTGCTTGTCTTCTGTCCCAACATCCTTCGCTTTCGGAGCAGATTTGGAGGAGGTCTCGAGCGAGGCGCCCACTTTCACCCCCCAGGTGGGCCAGATCTTGAGGAGGTCTCGATCGGTGGCCAGACTCGTGCGCACAGATTCTCCTCAGGATGCCACAGGAGGCTCCAACAGGCTCCAGGAGGCCCCAGGAGGCCACATGAGGTCCTAGGAGGCATCAGGAGGCCACGGAAAGACTCAAGAGGCCACAGGATGTCCCAAGATGCTCCAGGAGGCCCCAGGAAGCTTCGGGAGGCCTCAGGAAGCCACAGGAGGCCCCAGGAGGTCAGAGGAAGCGCCAGGAGGTCTCGGAAGGCAGCAGGAGGCCCCGAGAGGCCCCAGGAGCAGGAGGCCTCAGAAGGCAACAGGAGTGGCTCCAATCCCATGTGTTTTACGTATGCTCCTCTAGATTGGGCCTCACCTGGAGCACGAGTCCGTGATGTCATACGTATGTTTCTATGTATTGTCTTTCTCCTGTGTATGTATGTTCCTAGAGGGTCTCTCCTGGGGCACGAGTCCGTGGTGTTTTACGTGTGTTCCTATAGATTACCCCCTTTTCCTGCGGCTCCAATCCGAAATGTTTTATGTACGCCTGTTGCTATGGATTCGGCCTCCCCTGGGGCACGAATCCCCCCTACGAGGTCCCAGGAGGCCCCGAGAGGCTCCTGGAGGCCCCAGGAAGCCCCAGTAGGTTTCAGGAGGCCCCAGGAGGCCCCAGGAGAACCCAGGCTCATGCGCAGAGACGCGCTCGTACTACTGAGGCTCATTCACACTCCAAGTCGTTCTCAGTTAGGTCCATGACCAGACCGTCACAACTGAAGCCCGTTTATACTCGAAGGCTCTTGCGCCTAGACACTCACGGCGGACAGGTCCATGCGAATAGACGCACATATGGGGAGTTCCGTTCAGTGAATAAGTTGAGTGTTGGTGGGCATCGTTTGAGCCTTTTTCGAATATGTTTTATTTTTCGTCCAAAAGCCCCCTGTAAGGGGGACAGGCCCGACCTAAGATTAGACCTCGCCACCCCTGGGGGGGGGCTGCGATCTTCGAAACCGTCGCCGCTCTTTTGAGGGCTGCTGGGGGGTCCAGCGGAGCGACGCCCTACGCAGATTCTGATTAGACCTCGCCACCCGTGGGGGGGGGGGCTGCGATCTTCGAAACCGTCGCCGCTTTTGAGGGCTGCTGAGGGGGTCCAGCGGAGCGACGCCCTACGCGGATCCAGAGCAGATTCAGATTAGACCTCGCCATCCCTGGGGGGTTGCGATCTGCAGAACTGTCGCCGCTTTTTAGGGCCATTGGGGGATCCAGCGATCCAGCATAGTGAGGCCCTGCGTGGAGTCACGTAGATTCGCCTTGGTTTCCTTTCCCGCGGGCCGCCCGAAGACCTGGCGGCGCGCCTGCGGGCGTCAAGCCCCCGCGTTCTAAGGTGCAGGGCGGCAGCGGAGAGCCTGGCGGGCGAGCTTGGCCTCGCTTGTTTTTTTGCACTGGCTGTGCACGGCTGATCCTTTGGAGCGCCAGGACGACACGGCGCGGGCCGCGCTGCTTGCCCAGCGTGCCGAGGATAAACGATCGTCATCTTTTTGCCTCATCCTGCCTCTTTCGTTGTCGTCCTCTTCCTACGTCCGCCGTCACACCTGCTGCTGTCGCGTTAACTGTTCGGCCCCTCTTCCGTGTCCTTTTCCTGCCCTTCGTCCCCACCTCCACTTCCTCTTCGAGCATGGGGCCTTCGTCTGCGTCTTCTCTGCTGCCCTGTGAGTTTTGCAACGCGCGCGCTTGTCATATAGCTCACACAACCAATACTTGATCCTGCGCTGTCATATGCCAAGCTATTCTGGACCAGATCCTCGTGTCACATAGTACAGATGGGTTGGGTTCGTCGCAGGGCAATCACGGGGCTCGGCGAGGGCCCCCGGGGGCAGAAAGAACACCGACAAATCCCGTCGCGATTTTCTTCACGGCGACAGGAAGTGGGGAAAGTCCGACAACAAGCGTGCCCCTAGAGTCCTGGCTGCAAGGTGATACGTCATCGCATCTGTCGACTGCACCCCAGCTCGGGCGCCCGGAGGAGCAGGCTGCAATGGGGCCCGCGGAGTCGCCGGAGGAGGCGATGAACGAGGAGGAGGAGGAGGAGGAAGTCGACAAGGGCAAGGGCCCCGCGAGGTCGATGCTCCTCGGCCCTCCCGCGCGCGAAGCGGTTGAGGGCCCGGGCCGGCAGTCGCCGGAGGAGGCGATGCATGATGAGGACCGAGGAAGTAGAAACGGCGTACTTTCAAAAGTTTGGAAGTCCTCCTCCTCCTCCTCCTCCTCCTCCTCCTCCTCCCCCTCCTCCTCCTCCTCCCCTCATCCTCCTCCACCTCCTTCCTCCCTCCCCTCCTCCTCCTCCTCCTTCTCCCCCTTCTTCCTCCTCCTCCTCCGCCTCCTCCTCCTCCTCCTCATCCTCCCTCCTCCTCCCCTCCTGCTCCTCCTCCTTCCCCTCTTCCTCCCTCCTCTCTCCAGCTCCTCCCTCCTCCTCCTCCTCCTCCTACCCCCTCCTCCCTTCTCCCTCCACATCCTCCTCCTCCATCCTCCTCCTCCTCCTCCTCCTCCTCCTCCTCCTCCTCCTCCTTCTCCTGCATCCTCCTGCTCCGCTCCTAGCTCCTCCTCCTCCTCCTCCACCTCCTCCTCCTCCTCCTCCTCCTCCTCCTCCTCCTCCTCCTCCTCCTCCTCCTCCTCATTTTCCTCCTCCTTCTCCCCTCCTCCTCTCCTTCCTCCTCCTCCTCCTCTTCTCCTCCTCCTCCTATCCACACTCCTCCTCCTCCTCCTCCTCCTCCTACTCCCTCCTCTCCTCCCTCCTCCTCCTCCTTCTCCTCCTCCGGCTCCTCCTTCTCCTTCTCTCATCTCCTTCTTCAACCTCCTCCCTCCTCTCCTCCTCCTCACCCCTCCTCCTCCTCCTCCTCCTCCTCCTCCACCTCCTCCTCACACCTCCTCCTCCTCCTCCTCCTCCTCCTAAATTATCATCGATAGGCCCACAAAGAGGTAAGGCCGTCGACTCCCTTAAGCGAAGGTGGCACCTCTCTGGCACGTGTGGGTCCTTGCAGCTGTCGATCTGCCTCTCAAGGCGGGCTCTTCACAGGGAGGAGGAGGAGACCATGAGGAGGAGCAGAGGAAGGAGGAGGAGGAGGAGGAGGAAGAGGAAGGAGGAGGAGGAGAGTAGGAGGTAGGAGGAGGAGAGGAGGAGGAGGAGGAGGAGGACCCGACGCTCAAGCCTCCTGGGGCCGCTCTTGCACGCCAGGGTTCGTGTGCTCTGGGTCCGCATATGTCTGCGCCGCTCCCTCGCCCTGTGTGCCTGCGGGAGCTGCCCTGCCACCGGGGTGGACTGCGCGTGGTGGTTTGCGACTTCCCTTTTCTTCCCTTCCCCACCTTCTCCTCCTCCTCGTCCTCCTCCTCCACCTCCTCCTCCTCCTTCTCCTCTCCAGAAGTCGTCCTTCCCTTCTTTTTTGTGACGCATGTGAGGCAAACGCGCCCCTGCTTTTTGTGACGCTGCATGTTCAAACTCATGAGAAGGATTCGAGACCGTAAAGTAACCATGTACTACGACATCTGAGCTTCGGCGCTCCTGCGCCCCCGCCGAGCTCTTAGAGGGCCGCCCCCCGTGGCGCACATCGGCGCCTGTCCTGTCCCGTCCTGTCCGTTCCCTTCCCGACCCCAATTCCCAGAAGTCGTGTTGAGAAAAAAACTATCGGAGGTCTGCGCCGATGTCTTGGATCGGCGCTCGGACCCCCCCCCCCGACGGGGCCTCTAGCGCCGCCGCCGGCGCGTTCCCCGCGCGCCAGGCAGCGGATTGAGGGCCCATACAAGAAAACCGCGCGGACCTTCGAAAGTGTAATGTTTGTGCAGCTTGCTCTTCTAGAGGAGGGGTACGCGGCGGCGCCGAGCTCACCCGAGGAGGCGATGCATCAGGAAGAGGAAGGGGCCCCTGCGGAGTACGGGAATCCGCTGGGCGAGACGGCTGACGAGCTCCGCACGAGCCAGCGAGATGCCGAAGAGTCGTCCGCGACAGCGCTGGCCTGCTCCAGCGCGTTCTCCGGCTACGACGCCGTGTGCGATGGCCTGGAGTTCGGGGAGTAATTCGAAGAACAGAGAGCGGCATAAACATACTTTC